ATATTATCCTGGATGTTAGGTAGGATTGACTGCTGTGGTTTGGTAATAGCATTAAGTCCACGAAAGTCGATCGTGAAGCGCCAGGTGTTTGCTTCACGTTTCTTCACCAATACGATCGGCGCACAGAATGGAGATGTAGATTCCCTAATTATTCCATCTTTTTAGCATCTGAGTTATCTGCTTCTCTATTTCCTGCCGTTTTTCAAAGGGCACTCGATAGATCTTCCTCGCTGGTATTGTTGCATTTTCGACGAGGTCAGTTCGATGACGAATATTTCTTCTATAATGTCCAAGATGTCCATCTGGTCCAACAAAAGCGTTGCTATGATATCTAATGATGTCTCGCAATTGATCTTTTTGTTTCCTCGTTAAGTTAGAGCGGGACAGATCGATCTCATTAGCGATATCATACTTCTGGGGTTCCGGTAAGGCTGGAAACGAAGGCAAACGGTTTTCCCAGTCTGCTTCTGGTGGAATTTTGAGGTCGTCATTTGTGCTGTCGTCCAGAGGGATATCCTTGACGTATGCAACAGAAGGGCGAGCCAGATCTCCCGAAAACTTATAGATGGGATTTCTAGTTGCTGCACTGAAATTCCGATGGGCATGCAGGGTATGCGATCGCTAATTTGAATCTCCGGCGGAGCGAGATATTAGCCATTGACGAGTTCAGGATGTTAATATAGCAAGTCCCGTGTGAGTTTGGCGTAACAAGAGCTTGGCTGATGACAAAGATGTCATCCATTGGTCGTAGATTATCTTCAATAAGGAAGTCTTTACATCTTGGCCATGTTAGTCTATCGATATGAGCTTCCACTATGTTATTAGTCCGCCTAGGCAATACTATGTCGTTGACGAGCCGTACCTCGTAAGGTGATATGTCTGCAAGCGTGATATAGTTTCGGCACGAGGTCTATATCTTCTGGTCCTATTCGTATGGTTTTATGATGGAGGTCAAGGGAAACCAATAAACCGTTTTCGTTTGAAGCACGGATGAAGTCCGATCCTAGTAAAAGACTGGACAATCCTTGTCTGCCGCTACATAGAAGCAATGGGAAATAACATGTGTTCCTATCTGGACTGGCAGACAAACGGTACCTGACAACTGTATTATTGTACCATTCGCAGTTGTCGCTGTTCTTGGTGCTCCCGTGGGCGATTTCGTACCTCCAATCAATAATAAAGTTGATGTCGTCATGTATGATATGGTTGCTCTACTATCCAATAACGCTATGACTGAGTAAGTGCCAATTTTAACCTTCAAGTATGGCAAATGTTGTGCTTCCGTCCTTATGGCATAAATACGTGGTACGAAGAGAGGTTCTTCTTCCCTTGGTGGCAAATTTACATTACTAATTTGACTTTATGTTTCTGCTTCCTAGTCTTCCGTTTTGGGGTGAAGTTCTTGGCGATGTCGAACATAGCCGACGCGGCAGTCGAAGTTGCGCGTCTAAGGAAGTAGAGCTTCACGTAAATAACGCAAGCTCCAACACAAAGTAAAATAATGGTGGCGGGTATTGCAATCCAAAGTATGGTGTAGATAACTGACCACTTGATATCTTCCACGCCTTCCGAAAGCTTCTGTGTTGTTGATTCTTGAAGGGATAATAGAGACTGACCCAGGGACATGCTGGTGTTCCGTATCCGTGAGAATGTCTCTTCAATTATTCCTCTTTTCTGGAGTCGCAGGACCACATTTGCTTGCTCCTGTCCGATTGCCTTCATGTGTGGAATCAATGATAAGGCGTGCTTGTCAAACAGGCGGTGGGGTGTAGGTGGAGTGTCGAAAAGAAAAGGCTTCACTCTATCGTTAATAACGGCATTGGGCAGCATAAGCTTCTGTATCGAGTTGGAATCCTTTGGTGACAAATAAGGGCAAGGAACGGTGGCAGATGTCTGTATCAAATCCTGTGTTCCCGGTATTTGGAACCAAAGATCCTCGTCAATCCTGACAGGTGTCAATATGTAACATGTTCCACTAACCGTATGATTGTTATGGACGAAGGTTGGTGTAACTTGGCGACATTTCGATTAATAAGTTGTCCGCAGTCCGTACGGCCGTGATATCAGTTCTTCCCAACAAAATCTTGGCGGCCCATGCAGGGTCTACCAAGCTTAGGGTACGTATCCGCTGTGCTAAGAGATATTGTCGGACACAGATATTATTAAACTGACGTCGCACCGCAAAATTTTGTGGGGATATATTTTCCGTGTCAGGTGGTTGTGTGGGCACGGAAAATATTGAAGATGTTGTAGAGAAGTTTGCAGCTTCTACTGTTGTTGAAGCGTTTTCCTCTTCCTCAGCCGTCGTTGGTATGATCGTCGTTGAGGCGGGTATAATTGATGTCAATATCGAATCCACTACTGATACCGTTGATAATATAGAATCCACTACTGGTACCGTCCAATCCATAGAGACAAGTCTCGTTGTTCGCATCAGAATCTCCTCCCATGATAGGGTGAAGGCTGGTGTTTCGGCCTCTATTACGGGTTGTAGGGTGGGTAGTGGGGTATGGTGATACAGGTGATAGACTTCTGGCGTTGTGAATGGGGAAATGGAAGAGGTAGTACTCGTTGGTATCGACGACGTTCTCTCCGAAGTGCTTGATGGTTGGGTATGATGTTTCATCAAAAATGTTGTCTCCGGCGATTGAGGCGATGATACTGCTTTACTGATTTTAGTTGTGGTAAAAAGGAAGGTCCCTTTTGTAGAGGGTGTTTTGATTGGACTGGTAGACGTTGATGGTAGAGTTGTCAACGTCGTCATAGCATTTCGAACAGGTGATATCCTTGTTATCGATTTGAATGTCCTCATAGGAGTTTCGGACGTCATCGTTGTTCGTAGGGTTGTTGTTGTTGTCAAGGTTGTTGTTCTTCGTGAAGTCGTCGTTGGCCCCTAGAGTTGTTGTTTGTGGGGCTGACGTCGTTTGTATCGCTAATGAAATTCGTGACGTTGTGGTTAATGGAACGTTCGTTGTGATGATGTTATCATAGTGCCTATCGCAGTTGGTGAAATTATCGGGGCCAGAAGAGTTGTTGCAAGTTCTGCTAAAGTGATGTTGAAATAGGGAATTTTAGACTTCCATTCTGGGTCTAGCGATCCTGGGATGTTGTATTCGATTCTTCCAAACTCCTTTTTGAGATAATCGTCGAATATTGGAGAAATACCGTGTTCTAGGTCTCGTGGGATGTTGGTCACGGCATAATTTGGAGGTGTTACCTTCGCGGATTCCGCAAATAGATTTAATTGCTTCATGCGATACTCGCCGTACCGTATCGTGCGTAGAACGATGTATCTTGGATCATCCACTTTATAATACCGGGTCGCTTAAATGAGATCGCTATTAGTAATATTCCATTGCTGTAGCTCGTAGAGGATCTTATTCCATGTTATCGGGCGCGTGTTGAAAACCGGGATTCTTCTGAGTTGTCTAATACCGAACAATCGCTTGATCAACAATACGGGTTCCATCGGCACGATTTCGAACGGGTAGGTATTTTTTTATCCGTGAGGTGTCGTATAGCACGCTTCGTTCTTCTTTGCATCGTAGTTCGTAGCATGGGTGCGTTTGTCGGAGTTGTACAATCGAATGATTCTGGAAGTGAAAAGATGTTCGAGTATGGGTTTGTCCCACATATCTGGTATTTCGCAATTGTGAATCCACTGCACAGTATCAGATCATGATACACAGTAAGTGAACCCCTGGAGAGTTGATCCTTCCTCTCGCGAAGGTGCCGGGAGGTGCGGGAGCTGAGCATCACTTATCGAAAGCGGTCTATATTGTGCATATGGTGGTGCTCCATAGCCATAGGGTTTTCTTCCTTGTACTGGTGGAAATCTATTGTTGTACATTCTACGATGAAAGAGGGGTGGTGCACGTTGTCGGAAAAGTGGGTATCTGGGATAATATCCTCGTGGCTAAAGAAAGGATTTTGGGTAGGTCGCATTATCCTCTGCATCTGCCTAAACTTATTTCTATCCTGATCATTGGTGGATTTCTGTCGTGGTGTTGCGTTCATCTGACTCAACTGCTGTTCAAGCCGATTGATTTTCTCGTCCATGAGAAGAGCATTGACGGCTTGAAGAGCATCTCTATCTTCTTTCCTTTCCTGTTCCAAGATGCGAGATTCCTTTTCTGCACTGCATACTATCTCATCGAATTCGTCCGTGTCAGGTAGTTAACCGCTTTCTTAATCTCGGGATTGAGGCCCTTGATAAAGAAATCAATGGCCATCTGTTTGATGAGTGGTTGTCCTTGTCCCTGGAAAGCGATCTTCGTTTTGTTGTAAATTTTCTTGGCGAATTCTCCCACGGTTAATCCTCCCAATTCTTCTTTCCTTGCGTCATATTATGTAGCTCGTCTCGGATGTTGCTGAGAAGAGAGGTATTCTTCATTCGCTTGGCTAGCTCCGTTACCAAATCCTTCCAAGACGTCTTCTCTCGATTCGGAATCTGTTGGTACTTCAGTCTCGCTCCACCTGTCAGGTAGAGTGGCAGTAGTTTCTGGGAAATCAGGTTCGGGATAGCAAGCTCATGCGTCACTTCCGAGTATTCACTCAAAAATTGCTCAAGAGTTTTTTCCCCAGAGCCTGAGAACTTGTCCAATCTGTTTCCAAGTATTTTGCAGGCCATCTGCTCTTGAAGTTCCTTGTCCAAGATAGAAGGTGTTGCGCTTCTTTCTTGTGTCGTAGTTGGTTTACTTTCTTCTTCTTCCTCTGACATGCTTGATCTTCTTTCCTTTGGCATAGTCGGCTTCCTTCGGTTCGCTTCGAAAATTGCTTCTCTTCGTTGCTCCCTGCGTTGGTGTCGCAATAATCGCGCTGTGGTTGATAACGACGTATTGGACGCTGTTGGTTCTGCAAATAAAGATTGGCGGGAAAAACAGAGTGAAAGATAAAATAATGAGATGAGATTATTTTATTCTACTCTAAAAAGAGTAGCTTTAAATATACTGACATTTTGCTAAAGAAGTGTGACTGCAATTTCATTTTCTACTTTACAGATGATGCCAAATGGTAATATTGATGAAGTGCCCGAGGCACAAGACAATCAAAATGGTAGAGAGGCGCTAGAGATGCCGAATGGAGAAGGACTGCTTGGAGCAGGAGATGTTCAAAATGGTGAGGAGATATTGGAAGCAGCGCCCAATGCCCGTCAGAATGGTGTCGAAAGGGCATTCGGAGAGGCAGCAGACGATCAAGATGGTGAGGAGATATTGGAACCAAACGCCCGTCAGAATGGTGACGAGAGGGCATTCGGAGAGGCAGCAGACGATCAAGATGGTGAGGAGATATTGGAGCCAACGCCCGTCAGAATGTTGACGAGAGGGCATTCGGAGAAGCAGCGAGTAACCATGTCTATAGTAAAGATGTTTTTGTAAATTATAAAAAGAACTTTTAGGGCATGTGTTACAGGGAAAGCGATATTCTTTTGCTGATTTTGGGCAAATTGTATAAGAAAAATAGTTCGGAATGAATTGTCCGCAGCTGCCATTGAAAGCTGCCAAGGATAGAGCGAATAGGCGATTACAATGACGTGTGATATTCCGTGTTCTTATATGCTTCAACGGACAGCTACATTCTTCCTCCAAAAACGTAGCTAGACGATAGGTGAAAATAAACGGGCGAAAAGCATGCATTCCCGGAGGTGGCACGGCCATGACTTTTTCTTGCTCCTTTTTTAAATTTTTCTGTTGGGTGTTCAGGAATTATCGGAGTTTCGTCTCTAATAGTACTTAATAATCGCGCAGATGTTCAAAGCGTTCGTCAGCAATCCTCATGCATCTGAAATTTCGACTTTAGTTATTAAGGCTATATAGTTCGAAGCCGGAACCTCTATGTAAGGCTCGGCATAGTTCCGCAGAGCAGCTAATACTAAGATTGATGAAAATATCGTAGGTGAGATGTTTAATGTTCGCCGGCCTTAACAAAATCGATTCTCAACAACTATTTATTAGCAAGGAGACAATCGTACAATTGGACAAAACAAGTGACCTTTCAAATTAAGACGACTAAACTACAAAAGATCATAGTGAGCCGTCGGCTAGCGGCGGTGAATCATGACGGCCGATATGAGTAAATAAAGGTGAGGTCGCTACTTGCAAAATTACGAGACAAGAGCAGGAGAGTTCGAAAAGGAAGTTGAGAAACTACATCGATTAAGAATAAGAGAAGGTACGAATGCACACCTGAAACTTTCCTACGGTCTCTTATATATGTTCTATTAATGGATACGAACATACATGGTCACATAAAACGTATAATAAAAATGGTATTCAAGTTAACATTGCCTAATGGAAAATACAAAAACTTCCTAACGAGTCTATTATCCTTTAGAGGTTTTCGTAAGTTTCTTTCTCTTGTCCTGATAATTCGTTTTCGTCGTATTCGATGTCACTTCGCTGTTGCAATGTTTGCTTACTCACTCGTTGTGTAAACATAGAGTCCGCTGTTCGCACATGCGCGGAATATTCGACAAGGCACATTACAAAAGCACTTACCAAAAACTTCATAGTTGGAGAATCTTCCGCGCTTATGTGTTTGCAACAATCACGAAACTGGATGCTCGAAATCAATACAAAATGAAAATTATTTGAAAGTTATTTACTACTTTATAATTCACAAACCGCTAAGATCACGAAAAAATCATATATTAGGTTGTTTCACAAGTTTTTTTTTCAAGTTTGGCTTTTTACAGCAATGAGTCACACACTTCTCAGTCCCCAACAGAATGTAAGGCACCATTCGATAGGCAAAGCAAGCCCTATAAGATGACGTGTAATTTATCGCACCAACTTCAACACAACACTTTTAGATGTCCAAATATTTAATTTTCATATGTCAGTCAAAAGGGCAACTTATCATATCCCAAACTTGCTCACGCATATACACTCCCCATAAGACACTCATATGTAACGCTGAAAAATTTCAAAAAAGCTTGCTGCGTTGCTCCCACATAAGTAAATGCATATTACACGCCTTCAAAAATACATCGATAATTTTTCAACTCCGTAGATGCTCCAGTTCTTGAGAACTACCGCATTTGGCATTTTCAGTGGGGTATTTTATGTTGAGATCGATATTTCTCGGGAACAACAGCATACAAAAAGCTGAAAATTTGTCCTCGTACCTTTAAAGGCACCGTCCACCCTAAGTTGAGGGTGTTGAGCTTTTGGCAGCATATAATAGTAAAGCCTCCTATCAAGCCAATGCCCAAGTTGCGGCACAATATGCCGCTTCGGAAGCGAGAAAATCGCTTTGGAATAGCGAAGATGCACGAGGACCCCCATCCATGCCCGCCCCTCCCCATCCATGCCCGCCCATTTGTGCGCGCTCATCCAATCACCGTTCTGGAAAGCCGGCCTGTGGGCTCTTCGGAATGGGGATTGTCGGGGTTTTCGCGGATTCTCGACTTCATATTTGGAATAAGGGATATGAGAAGGCCCTAAAACGAAGAAAACCTGGAAGTCGAGAATCTGGGTGGACGGTGCCTTTAAGGGCTTGTGATACACAGGGTGTCCCAAAAAGATGTGCACACTGTTTGATTGTTAATAACTCTCTTGCTTTCATGTCTTTTTCCGAGCTTTAGGTACCATTCTTTAGAGCGAGGTTCAACTTAGATTTACAGTATGGAGCGACTTATCAGCAGCTCTTCATTACTGTAGGATTACGGTAGGAACTTCGAGGAGGATTTTGAGCCATTAAAAGCGGTATTTTGCTTCGGGTTGTTTCAGACTGCCGCACTGACTGCAGCAGACTGCAGCAGACTGCAGCTGACTGCAGCAGACTGCAGCAGACCGCACCGATTGCAACGACCGCAGCATGTTTGCGTAGGAAGAAAGTGCGACTGCGATTACGACCCAAACACTTCGAATGACGCCTAGCAAAATCATAATTTCTGATTTCGCCTAAAACGATCGCATCTTCGTATGTTTTTTATTCTTATTTGCTCCGATTTCTCGTTTTGCCACTCATTATTGTTCTTCTTGCTGCTCTTCACTTATGTTTAGTTCCTTCTTCCGTTGGTCAACTGTATTCTTCTTCTGTTCCTTCCAGTGCTCGGTTATCAAAAGTTACCTTCTTTTCAGGCCGTCTTTCCGCAAAGGTGGTGAAATGGGCTGAATAGTTGGAATACTTCTGAAATCAACAGTGAGTAATTATACAAGTTTATTTTGCTTGTCATCAAATGTTTTATGTTGGTTTCATGACTTTTTACGTGAATTTCAAGTTTTCTTTTCTTTTGAAATAGATCACCGGCCTGTTCTTTTAGGCTTTGGCCATACTTCACTCGTATTACCCGTGTTAACAATGTTACTCATGTTACTTGTGTTACTAGTGTTATGGTGTTACCGCTTTTACTGCTGTTGGTAGTGAAATGATCAGAGGTACAGTTTCATTCTAGGACGCAATCTCATTGATTGGTGTGTGACACTAGTAACATGGGGTAACACTGGTAAGACGGGGAACACTTTTTATTTTGTTGGGTTTCCTGTTTCCCTACTGCTCTTTCAAGGGAAGCTTTTTGGTTATGAAATTTACTACACGTTTTGCGCTAGTCTTTTTATTCAACTATCTTTATTTCTTTTCAGCTGTTTCGTCCTATCATGGCAAAGGCTCCGACTAGCAAGCGACAGAAAGCTGGTGGGTTGCTTGAATTTTTGAAGAGTATGTCTTTTGTTGTTTATCTTTTCTTTTTATGTGATCCATGACGTTCGACCAAAGCTTGTCTACCATTTTATCTGTCTACAGCGTGTCTCTCTAAAGACCGCAGTGCTTTCACTATCTCGCTTCTCTTCATATTTTACGTTTGCTTTTCCACTGCCATCAACCGTTTCTACATACTTTTTGGATATGTGAACCTCTTGGTGTGCAGAAGGAAAAGCTACGTATGTAGAACAGGACATCTTTCAAATTCTCCATTCTCAACTCAACCTTCTTCCATTGCTACGATCCCATCCAGTGCTTCCATTCGATTTCGCGTGGAAGTTTTGCATTTTTTTGGCATTATCCTCTCCTTTGACTAGATCCCATCATCTTCATCGTGCACCATACCCGTCTGTGTGCAGTTGAGTACTCAAATTCACTATGTTTCGAAGCGAATTTATAGATGGTGTATCGAAACTGCACCTGACAATATTTTTGTTGCAGAATGAGTCTTGCGACCCTCTCAAATCTTCTTGAAAGTCTAGTGTTCCTGTACGAAGCATTAGATGATCCCTCTACACCGTCCCTGCGACTTCAAAGGCGGCAGTACGTGCGTCAAGAGCATGTGCGTTTCCTTCGGTCGCGGCTTCGAATATTTGATGAATACCTGGTTACTCGAAGAGGCGAGGCGTTTCTGGATTTTATCAAATTGCTGCCCAATGAGTTCGAGAATCTGTATCAGAGAATTGGCAGTCGATTAGAGCATTTTACCACGCACGCGGGTCCCATTAGCGGTCGCCACAGACTAATGGTATACCTAAGGTGATGGTTAACATTCGATTGCAAATTGCTAACCTTACGTTCCTCGGGTATATTTTCTAGATATGTGACGCAAGGAATTACATTCAAAGCCTACGCCTTAGACATAGGAATTAGTATCTCGACAGTAGCAGCTATTGTTAGGGAGGTGACAGAAGCAATCATAATTGGTATTGGTACTGAATTTGCCTTGAGAACTATGAGAAACGCACTGATTCAGACATGCATAGTGAAGCCTTTCCTCGTATCAAGCGTGGCAAATTCATACAAGTTGCCCGAATAACGCAGGAAAGATATGACTACCCGAGAGCTGTAGGCTTCCTAGATGGGAAACATATCCACATCAAGGTTTTTCCGCATACACGATTTTCATCAGTTTTGGAGGAGACGTTTCATTCAGAAGCCTGCGCGGTCGGGTAGTATCTTTTATAATTACCAACACTACAATTCTATCATCCTCTTGGCTTTGTGCGACTGTGACCACCGCATCATTGCCTATGATGTGGGAGCTCCAGGCCGCGCTGATGACGCTGGAGTCCTTCGCGACTCCGCTCTGAAGGTTTGTGCTTGGCTTGAATCTGGTGCCCTACACTGGAAAGCTTCAGAGATTCTTGGACAGACACGACAATGTATTCCCGCTTACGACGGAGCTTGGAAACGTGGGACCCGTTCAATATCATATTCTCGTGAACGGTGGTTTTGGCCAGGGTCATAGGTTCATCAGACCTTATAGAGAAGCGGAGGCTGATACACCGGATAAAAGGCGCTTCAACAAGCAATTGAGCGGGTGAATCTGGATTTTGTTGCATGATCAATACGGAACGTCCTAATAATTGCTTTAGTGCACGTCAAATAATAGAACAGACTTTTGGCTTGTTGGCTCAGAGGTTCCAAGTCTTGATGTACCGCATGAACTTGGATCCCGTTCAAACTCAGCGACTTGTAATATCTCTTATGGTGATTTCCCTACAACTTCATTGAAAAACCAGGGGAACAACCACTTGTCTCAGATTCTTCACAACTTACTCCCGCGAAGGCAAGATTCTCTGGAGGCTGTCCAGAGGTTTGAGCCAGCACCGAACGCCGCCTATCATCCCCTTGAAAGAGAAGAACCAGAGGCTGGCACAGAATCAGCTAATAGAGCGAGGGAGCGGCTCACGCAGTATTATATCGATAAGGATGGGCCTGCAAGATCTTGAATGCTCCGTTTTCTTATTGCCTTGCATGTACATATCATCCGTGAACAACTTATTATTATCTTCAAATCGTGGATAAACAACTTCTATCATCGAGTATCCATAAACAACGTGCTTCTGAGTTTGGAAAAGGGATCTAAAGGCACACTGGAAACAGAAAACAGAAAAGTCGAAAGACACTCTATATGAGAATCGGCATAGCTGAGCAAAAGGGATTGGTTAGCAAGTTTTGAGACTTCGGTAATGGGCGTTGATATACGTACTGCGAAGCAAGAATAAACAACATGCAAAAGAGAGGTAATGGTAGAATCTGCAAGACTGACGCATTAATCTGATTGCTTGTCTTCTTCCAAGACTTCGACCTCGTCACTGTAAGGAGACCATTCTCGGGGATGAGGCGGCTGATCTTGCTTATTGTCTGCGTTGGTGCCAAAAAGAGCATCAATAATGTTCGGATATCTCGACCTGGCGACCTCCTTTCCGAAATCTCGTAAGACGTGTCCCACGAATTCTCCTAAGAAGATGATTTTTAATGCGAGCCTAGAAAATTTACCAAGTACCAACCAAAATGGCTGTATTCGTCGTTGAAAGGGTTTAAGCGCGTTGCATTTGCCTTCACCATCTCCACAGCTTCGAGGACTGACTTACGTTCTGCAAAGAAGAGTGAATTACATAGGAAGAAACGAGATGCACTCACCATTCGCTTTATCGTTTCCTTCTTTTTTCGATCTGCTATCGGACGAACATCTTTTTTTCGTAGTGGGGGTCTCCCATTCTTGTGCAGTTCGTTTACCAAGAGTAAACGCTTTTGGTTCATAGGTTTTTCCAACGCTACTGCCTTTAGGAACATCACTCTCGTCCCTTCCTAGGAAATTTGGTGGCGGCGGTTTTGAAATTAGTAAAGTCCGAAACTGTTAGAATGCAATCACGATATCGTACCGTTCTCGTCTTGATAATAGTCCGAATCTTCTCCCGTTTCATCAATATTTGATGAACGCACTCTGAAAATAGAACATTGCTCTGGATTTTTACGAGCTGTTAGATTTTTCGCATACCCTCCCACATCAGCATGGTCCAGAAAACTCAGACACTGATTAAATCCACTAGGTTTTTCCGCGGAACCGCTTCGTGGATTTCTCGACCTTTTATACCCGTCCCGCATACTCCTCCATTGACATTTCAAGTATTTCACTGAAACAGTTGTCCGAGTTTATATTTAAAACGGAACTTACTCACCATCGCATACAATTCCTTTACCCCTCGCCTTCTTGACAATCCTATCCCAAGCTTCATCTTTTTTGTCCTTTCTGTGGAAATGATCGTGACCAGGATACCATAAGCACGGCTCCGACTCCACTAGTGCGGCGAGCGTATCGCGATCGATCTTGCGATCCATATTGAAGCCTAAGTGAAGAGGATAAGTTGTAGCTTAAACAAACAGCAACTACGATACGCCTAAAACCAAAAGTTAACTCCAGCGAGAGTATTAGAAAACAGTCATATGCAATAATAAAAGGGATTAGAACAAGTACGAACATAGCAAAGAAAAACAACCGTCAAAGTTTGATTAAGAAGAGTGAAATAGAACAATTACGAACGTAGCAAAGAAAAACAATCGCCAAAGTTTGATTGATAAGGTGAATTAGAACAAATACGAACACAGCAAAAAAAAACAATCGCTAAAGTTTGATTGAGAAGAGTAGATTAGGACAAATTCGAACATAGCAAAGAATGAATGAGAGGAGTGGATTAGAACTTATGATGTTCTGGCGTGAGTCATGGTGTTCTGAAGATATCACAGTTCTATTTTACGACCAGCCACTCGATCATTGCGGTCAGCTGCAGTCTGCTGCAGTCTGCTGCAGTCTGCTGCAGTCAGCTGCGGTCAGTGCGGACTGCAGCAGTCAGCTGCAGTCTGCTGCAGTCTGCTGCGGTCAGTGCGGCAGTCTGAAACAACCCCTCAGAAAGAAAGCCAAACAAGCCAGAAACTCTTGAACCGGGTTAATTGAAGTTGCTGATTTTAAATATGAAAATTGCACGTCAATACACTGTTTCTTTCATGAGTTATTTCAGATTTAGGGTAACAACTGATTTTCCAACGATTGTCGGAAATGTGAATACGCCATCAAGAAAGCTCGAAAAACTGGTGGAAAGTTATGTAGTGAGGTCAGCACGCCTGAAAAGCTTGCTACACAAATTTTTAGATTTTTTCGGAATTATTTCATCAAATGGCTTGTTTCACAGTGACGCTATATGCTGAAAGTTCATACCGCGATCCTACAGTAACTAAGAGCGATTGGTGGTTCGCTCCATACTGTAAATCTAAGTTTATCCTCGCTCTACAAAATGGTACCTCAAGCTTGGCAAAAGACATGAAAGCAAGATAGTTATTAATGATCAAACCGTGTGCACATCTTTTTGGGACACTCTGTATATTTACTCATGTGAGAACAGCGCAACATCAGTTTTTAAAAAATTGAAAATTTTAGCTTTTTCGGTTTCGCACAGAAAGCAAACACCTGCACATATAAATGTCTTATATGGGTTGTGAATGTGTGAGCAAGTTTGAGATTTGGTGAGTTGCCTTCAAAAAGAAATGTGTAAAATTTTCAAATTTTTGAGCATCCGAAAGTTCTCTGATTTTGGCTTCTAGCTCATGATATGCTGAAGCTGTTGTGAGCAATTACAAACCATCTTATAGAGCTTGCCTTGCTCTATCGAATGGTGCCCTGCATTTTGATAGATTGTGACTTATTGCGACGAAAAGACAAAATTGAAAAAAACTTATGGGGCAACCTAATAGAATACTGTAGCAAGTTTTACATAGGCATGCTCTTCAGGAAATGCAGCACGATAGACTCGGAAATGTCATAAGAATGGGATATCAGCGGCTTTTGGATGTACACTCGCTAGTACACGTCTAAAGAGTATGTTCAAAAAGAGGCAAAGGAGCAAAAATTGTAAATACTCTAGCTTTAAGATTATTCGAATCCTTTATGAGTAAGGCAAATGTTTTGGTGGCGTCACCTTCGTCGGAGTCTGGAAAGTTTTCGAAGTTGTTTTTCCAAACGCCTTCGTTATGCACAAGGTCATAATCAACTTCCTGAGTGTAAACGAGCAACAAGAGTTTAATGCTCACTTTGGCAGTCTTCGATTTGAGTGGAGCTGCCAGCTCTTGCGAGATCTGCATTGTTAGCAATGGCTAGGATTCACGCCTACGTATGGAGGATCTATTTGATTGTAGACTAAACCGCAAAACAGCTGATATGAGATCAAATCATTTCTGGCAACGCCCTCCTTCTTGCGGTTTCTTTTGAAACCTTATAGCTTACCCAATACGACTTCAGCGTCTTGCGCGCGATTATTTTAGGTTAGGCATTAAGATTGTGACAGCTATGTCAAAGGAACAATTTGAGTGACACTGCAAAAGACACGTACTTAATAGATTTACATTTGTTAACCCATCTAGGTGCTCCTTAATAAAAATTCGCACAAAGGTTTACCAATTTCTTCAATGCCTTGCTTCCCCAAGTTTGGCAAGCGAAATCAGGCATACCACTCCCGTCTCCATGCATAACCTGGCTACCCGTTTGGACAAAGAGCGGAGATAGTACAGTATTTGTGCATAGGTCGCAAGAGCGATTGCGAGTTGTTTCTTGGGCCGCATGCTTTAACATCTCCGCCGAAAGGGCTCATATCCTAAAGCTCCACCTATACGAATTTTACGTTGCACTTAGCCTAAGCATATCTTCTATTCTCTACCATGAACATGTTCAAGAGGAGTGAAATTGTATAAGCCGCATTTTGTAGCTTTTATGAACCCCTGATGATTCTAACCGCCGACCTTTTCTTTAGAGCCAATTTCCTTTTTTTAGAGTTGACAACGTCTCAAAGTTATACTGATTATCTAATTCAACAAAGCTAACAAGAGAAGTCTTTTTAGTCCAAGAGTCCTTTTTATATGCTATCATTACCTATATCATTTTGTAGAGGGTTAGACGGTAAATCCATGTCTGTCTTTCTTACCTGCCAAACGCCTCTGGAGTCCGAGTCATAAGCGTTTATTCTGTTTAAAAAATTGTACGTGCATAGAGGGACGAAATCGTTTGAATTTGCTCAAATGTTAATTGACAATTATTAAAGCACTTTTTAAATAAATGCCTTTTGTTTAATACAGCCTTACGCAACACTGCTCCATTTGAGCGCTATAAAGACCGTAAGATCTGATTATTCCGCTTGGCAAAAATAAAAACAGATTCGAAATTAGCGTTCAATGCCTTTAAAGGAATGTAGGTCTCATTAGAAAAGCCAACTTTGACGCACCCCTGTAAGCATATCTCTATATAGATAAAACTCAAAAAGTGTCTGTTTGGAGGGTATGTGAGTCATAGAAACGCGCGCCGCTCAACCGATTGGGCTTGAACCTTTGCATACAGATGTTTTCGACCCCGAAAATGTTTCACGACACTTTTTTCCAAAATTCGCTGGGCCCTTCTATCGATTTATTAATTTTTAGCACTTTGCAATGGTAATGAACTCATATCATTTCCTATCAAACCAGTTCTACAGAAATATGTAAACATGACCCGCATGTCTCATTTTGAACCTCTGTTGGTGAAGTGCAGTGAAAAGTGTTCTTGACGTAACTCTTGATGCTATGCCCATGAGCATTATATTTTACCAGTGCGTCACCTCTGCTTCGCAGAGGCTCGCACTGGTTCTACTATCCAGGCCCTACTCATTCTCGCATAATGATGGCATTGAAACTCACCGAGCAATGCCTACTATCATGAACAAAATGTAAACAACTACTCATTCCGAAAGCTTTTCCATGTGAAATCGGTGATTTCGTGTGGATGAAATTTTTTTGCAGGAAAACAAAGCAAAATTTTGTACGTTTTTGATTTTTTCACAGTCTTGACAGTCGCCATAAGAACAGTAGTCACCATAAGCTACATTTAGGTACAAAAATCTCATCAAATGCTCTGGTAAAAGCTTGGCAAAATGACCATTTACGCAACCAATACTTTCTGGCGCCGTTTTTGTAAAGTAGTGGACTTTTGATCACTTTTTTGGGCCTAAGTTCATGGTTCGCACATTTACTTGCCATAAACATCCACGAGCCTGCAAAAAGTGGAATTACAGACCCAATTTTGGGGACGAAAAGCCAGGTGGGTCCGATTGACGCGCATTTTCTGAGGGATCCGCTAAACGGATCCGCTCAAGCTTTGATATAGTGGACTCTCATGTTGGTAGCATGCGCTGTGCAAAATTTGGGCTCAAGATGTTGGCTGGCAACCGTTCCACGAATTTCGTGACAGACAGACAGACACACACACACACACAAAACACGTAAACATCCTTAGCCCGTTATTATAAGTTATGATGCTGCGGTCGAGTTCAATGCGCGCAAGTAGTCATGAGTGTACCGTAATGAGTGTTTTGTGCAAAGGAATGCTCCATTTACAGTTACGATCAATAATTTGTTTATTAGGTGTATAGTTTGGACATTAATAGGATCGAGACTCCTGAGATTGGGCAAGAATTTTTTTGCATTGTCAGGAGGTCTTGAAAAAACATCCGCCTATTACTACATCAACTTACTTACAACTAGTCATAGTAAAAAAGTATCTACAAATTAGAAGATGCCCTGCTGTATCCGAAATCAGCTTCAAGCACTAAAAGCAGAGCGAGTAACCGCTTAGCAGCAAAGCAGCAAAAAAGCTCATTATCGTCCGAGTCATTATTGCTACTCATCCTCTTTTGCATGTCAAACCACAATACAACTTGCTCTGTACAGTTTTTGGATTCGCTTACATTTGATTTAGAAATTCTTACTCTTTTTTGTCTGTCTCTTTTTTCACAGTTACTACGATTGCACACATACACTTCGGGGCGGGGCGGATGTCAGGGCTCTTTTCTTTGTCGATCGATGTCGATTTTATTGATTTTTTGCGAACTTTGAGATACAGGATTGGGAGATGGCACAGGGTGGTGGGGAGGGGGGTAAGTGAGCATGCTTATTACGAATAAAATATTAGTTTTCTAGAACTATCATTTACTTTTATCGATTTTTTGATATTTTGCCTTTGAGCTACGGGGCTTGGAGTTGGCAGCACAAGGGGTATTTGAGCATGCTGATTACAAATACAGATTAGCTTTTTGAATTCTAGGTCACCTTTATCGATTTTATGAATTTTTTTTTGCAAAGTTTGAGCTACAGGGTTTGGGGGAGGGGGGGGGGGGGGGGGGTACCAAGGGCTTAGAGGACATGCTGATTACAAAAACTTAATAGTGAGAACAGGGGCTAAAATGTGGAAAATATTGGAAATGGCAACCACCAAAGTGTATTGACAGGGCCGGGAGGAACCGGGTATGCCAGCTAGTTTCTGATAAAAACGAATGAGT